ACCTAATTCTGATCTGATACCAGAATTTGGTGTTGATCAGCAAGAGGTAAACCAAAGAATGATACTAAAAAATTTCATGCAAAATACTTTGTAAATAACAAAAAAATAATACTTGGATACCAAAAGAATACCTGTGTGGTATTGTTTTGGTATTGCATTTGCATAATTTGGTATTGGAATGGTTTTGTTGGAACATGCACATCCATACCAATTTATGGTATCGAGATATTCGTCCCTGCTCGGGATATGATATACAATAGATCAAATTACTAGTCGCAGTGGTTTTATGTCCCGAACAGAGGGAAAATAAATATCAGCTTGTATTGATAGTAAAATTTTAAATTCCATTCGTTTTCGATTTCAAGCAGCCATGGACGTGAAAATGGAGCATGTCATAAATCTATATATATTCGTGTGTTATCATCTAGAAACTGAAATCTCTTCTAAAGAATGACACATTTATTTATAGAGGTAAAAAGGGACCATGCGTGGAAAATTCGTTCAATATCAGAGCTTAGACGCATTGCCAGGACTCCAAAAGTGCTGGAACTAAAACGTGCGTGCCAGCTGTGGTTCATTTTCGTGACAAATGTGGCTATCTAATCAGAGGTAAAGGGAGAGAGATTTGAATTAAAGTATTGTAAGTTGAAGGTTGATATCAAAAAATCATGCAAGCGTTCAATCTTTAGGACCATTTTTAAAAATGAAACTTATTCCAAATCACCCAGTCAAAAATAAAGATATAAAGGAGATCCTAATTGGTCGAGGAGATCCTAATTGGTGAAAAGTTCCATGCAAATCCAATGTCATTTTTGCTTTTTAGGAACTGTTCAATGTTGTTGGAAGTTTTACTTAAAATTACTAAACACATTTTTTTTACCAAAAATATTTTTCTCAACGTCATTTCGATCAAAAGTGCCGTTTCCGTGCTACATTTTTTGGAAAAAATTCAAATAAGGCATTGTGAAAATTTTCCAACATCTAAAATGGCCCAATTTTAGCCAAAGCATGAATGATTGCTCTTAACAAAACAATTCTGCTCGGATAGTCTCAGTTCGATTAAGGCTATTCGGTTGATGAAACCAGGTAGGCACTCATCTAATGTCCTTTCATAGACAAGGGAGCAGATGAGTGTGCTGGACGAAAGATCATATATGATTACCTTTGTATGGGTTCCCTCACATTGCTCAATCCCAGGCAATGAGAAGGTGGACTCACTCGCAAAGGTGGGCGCGCAGGAAGGTGAATTTTATGACAGGCGAATTTCACACGATGAATTTACCATTTAGTTGAAGCCATTTTCAATGGTTTTGAACTTTTCTCAAAGTTCAGTAAATGTTGAAATCAGTCTTGTTAAAGATTATGAAGCTTCGATTTTTACAACCTAGCAAGCTTTTCAAATGTAATTCTTCCTTTTTTGAACATGAGCAGTTCTATTGAGATATACTGATTTCAGAAATTTTCAAAAAATCTATTTTTTTTTATTTATAAAGGGTGTCCACGATGAAATTGCCACACACAAAATTGATTCGCAAAATTCGAGTTTTCATCCGATTGCCATCAAATTTTCAGGGATTGAGAAATAACTATTAAACTTCATTTTACCATTTTACTCGTATTTTATTTACAGTCCATACGCAAATGCCCGCACCTTGGCCTTAACCCCGGCCATAAGATTCTGCACAACCTGTGAATCAACCGTTTTTTGCATGTAAACCCATACTTTCTTCAGTTCCTCGACTGTCTTCACTACCTTAGGTCGTTTAAGAAGGTGCTGCTTCATAATCGCCCAGTACTTCTCGATGGGTGGAGCTCCGGAGTGTTGGGAGGGTTGAACATTTTCGGCACGAAATTGACCTTATTGTCTCCGCATACCACTTCAGCACGTCCTTGGAGTAGTGGCATGAGGCCAAATCCGGCCAGAAGATTGTTGGGACGTTGTGGGCCTTCAGGAGAGGAAGCAGCCGCTTCTGGAGGCACTCTTTTATGTAAACATGTCCGTTCATCGTGTCCTGGGTCACGAAAGGTGCACTCCGCTTCCCGCACGTGCAGATGGCTTGACAAACCAGGAATTTCTTCGCAAATTTGGACATCTTCTGAGTGCGGACATGCTCCGGAACGCTGAACTTATCCTTGGCCGTGAAAAACAGGTTGCCGGGGATCTGTTTGAAGTCGGCCTTCACATATGTTTCGTCGTCCATGATGCAGCATTCAACTTTCGTCAGCATGTTGAGGTACAACTTCCTGGCACGGGTTTTGGCGGACTTGTTCTGCTTCTCGTCGCGATTAGGGGCCTATTGTACCTTGAACGTTCGAAGCCCAGCCTTAGTTTTGACCTTCTGGACAAAACTTCGGCTTAGGTGCAGCTTCTTAGCCACATCCCTAACGGAGGCGTTCGGATTTCGGTTGAAGGCCCCAACTACGCGGTTGTGATTTTTGGTGTTGTACGGAATACTTTTTCCTTCACTTCTGGGCTTCCGATCGGTGGTCAACCGTTCCTCGAACCGTTTAATCACTCGCGACACCGTGGAATTCGCGATTCCCAACGTTTTAGCGATGGAACGATGCGAGAGATCCTTGTTCTCGTGATGAATGCGCAAGATTTTATCACGCACGAGCTGTTCTTTCGACTCCATTTCCACGAGTTTTGATCACAGGACTTTAAAACTTGCAGGATGTAAATAATGCACTATGAACTAAATCCACCCAAATTTTCATTAAATTCTACCCAACGGTTAAAAAGTTAGAGCAATTTCGTAGTGTGGCAATTTCATCGTGGACACCCTTTAGGAATGCTTCATTCTATTAAACATGAGAAGTTCTTTGGAGTTTTACTGATTCCGGAAATATTTAAACAATCAGTGTATTAAATTTTAGAAATGACCCATTCGGCGAAATGATGGGAACACTGGAAATCTTGGACGGTTAAATTATTCCTAATGTTTCTTCAAGAGCGTGGTTTAAAGGCTTGGGCTTGAGTCACGACTTCATTCGCGTGATGAGTAGACTTATGTCCAACCACTACTCGCTAGATGCGCATCTCCATAGAATGAACCTATTGGACAGCAACATCTGTCGGTGTGGAAACGGCTACGATGACAACGATCACGCAGTTTAGCAATGTACGGATAATGACGCTAAAGAGTGACTTATGAATACCTTCGAGGCCCAAGGAAGACAACCCTACATCCCTATCAGAGACGTGTTGGGAACCCGCGATCTGTGTTATATGCAGTCGATTTATGTGTTTCTGCAAATGTCTAGTATAAGAATTCAATTAATTTGTCTTGTGTCTCTCTTTATTAGTATTTGATTGAATTGTCCCCCCGTCTCGATGAGTCTCATCGTCACCCACTGGTCACCATAGCCGGTCGAACTCCAGACGAGTCTAGAATCGCACTACCGTTCATACTGGCGACAACGCTCTTATGAGACAACGAAACCTCCCCCCCAAGCTCCTCCCCTTAACCTATCCTTCGGCAATGTACCCCTCTAAGCTCGGGTAAGCCGCGAGTATTCGGCCCAACTTCTACTGGACATAGACAAAAGTGAATTTTGTTACAAACAATGAATTTTCGGCTCCGTACAGCTATCGCGATTGAGCTTTCAAAATAAACACACTACATAGACAAACATAACAAGATATTGATAGTAATATTTTATATTATTTAGCTTTGGTTTTGCTATTCCCCTCTACCCGGTCATCCATCGCTCAAACAAATTTGCCTATTCGCTATTTTTTTTTCATTTTTGCTCAAACACAGCGCTGCTTACCCGAGCAAAGTCCAGCATCAAAATGACAGCAAATTGAAATAAAGTTTTGATATTAACATCAAACTGAAATCATAATTTGATTTCAGTTTACACATTGACAAAATTGATACCAAATTTAGATTTCATTTTGCTGTACATTTGCTCTTTAAAAATATGTTGTTACGGGTTTGTTTTCATTGCCTTAGCATAACATCAAATTGAATACTTGTTTTGCTATCAACAGGAAAAATGGATAGCAAATTTGGTTTTCAGTTTGCTCTCACTGATAGCAGAAATAGTTTTCTATGTGATGTCACAGGAAGATATGTTTGCTCTCAATTTTGATATTTTAACCGTTAAAACGACCAAAACGACAACAACCTGTGTAATCATTATCAGCGAAATCACAACATCAAATTTAGATTTCAATTTGATCTCAGACTTTGCTCGGGTAGCTTGTCCCTTGAATTCTGCAAAGTTGCTAGTATCTTGTTATGTTGTCTTCGCTAATAACCACGTTTGTAAGGTTGTTCGAAAGATTACAATGATCCACTGAATGAACATACTTTCCGTTTTCTAAAATAAACGTAAAAATCCTGTGTGAAATCCTGTGCTATAGCTTTATACCTCGGCACTTGATATCACCCGGTTACCATCGTACGAGGCACGTTAAACTTTAATTGTGCACGAAATTTATGGTTTCCAGCGGTTTCGGTTGGTAGGTAGGTAGGTGCACTGCAAAGTTTTCCCTCCCTGTATGGACGATCCATTTTCGGCCCTAGACAGATGCGCGTTCCATTCCAAAGCAACGAACGGCAACCAAGTCAGTCTGCTGCTGGTTCGAGCGTATTCAAGTTAATGAAACGACTAAACGGCAGCCGGGGATTTATTGGACTAGCCGCAAAATTCCACAACCAAAATCCACCGGGACTGAGTCGGCGGACAGAGTTGGATTGGTGGAGGACGATAAGTAGCGAGCTAAACGAACCATTTTATCTGATTGGGAACTCGACTCCGATTGGATAATGGGTTTGTTTAGAATAAATAGTTGTTATGTGGATTTGCGGTGGATTTGAATGTGGGTTTATAATTTCCCGTAAACCGATTGCAATTTGATATTATTTGGTTCCAATGTAATTACTGTTATATAATTACTGAAGCTCTGAAGATCTTCCGATTACATCGATTATTGAAACAAGGGTTATAACATCGAAACTAATAGCCACCTTTTGCATGTTCATTTCCAGATTCATCATCATCCCCGGCAGCAATAACCACAGCATCGGCGGAACCAGTTGAATCGGATCCGTCTGAGCTCGATACTAGACTAGCGTCGTCTGGAAGCACCGTCAGAAGCTGTAGAACGTCAACCGCAACGACGACTACGGGAACGTTTCGGAAGCGCTCGCGGCGAATGACTAGCTTCCATCGACATCGTCATAAAAAGCTGGTCAACGAGGACGACACAATGCACAACGGTACCAACAGCAGCAACAACAGCACCAGCAGCAGTAGTAGTAATACGGAAAATGTAACAATCCGACTACTTTGCCCACCGCCATCCGTGCCCAAGGACATTCCTTCGGATACGACTAGTCATAAGCAGCACAACCACCCACGCGTACCAATCGAGATAAGCACTGCCACTCGTCCCAACAGCAGCATCAGTGGGAAACGCTCCGGAAGTGGGTGGTCCATCGTTCGCCATCTGGCAGTCGGTTCCAGCAGCAGCAGCAGCAGCATGAGCCACAGTTGGAAATGGAATTTTGCCCTAGTTTCCACGGTGATGTCGCTGCTGATGTTTCTACTCTCGTCGTCGGCGAGTGCCACGGTGGTACAATCAGGTCAGCAAATCGTCAGCTCCTCGGAATCGGGTCCGGGTCCGGGTCCGGTGGTTGCGGCCCAGAAGCAATCGCGCCAGCAGTGTGCCGTGTCGGAGCACTCGTGCAACAATGGACGCTGTGTGCCACTGAACAAATACTGCAACAACTTCAACGACTGCGGCGACGGAAGCGACGAGCCGCGGTTCTGTACGAGTGAGTATCTGGTTGGAGTTTTCCGGTTTACATTTATTTATTTTTTTTTTTTTCATTGTTTAGAATATGGTGGCAATCATTGCAAACAACGTGAACAGTCGGAACAATTTAAGTTTTAAATATTTTCATTGCATTGAATCCTTTGAGAAATTGCTGGCTATAAATATGTTTGAGGATAGGTGATGTTTATTAACGAGATCTTCAGCTATTGGCTGGTTCATCTCTTGACGAATATTGGGGACTCCTAAAGGGGGTCCCCCTAGTGACAGAGTTTTAAATGGCGGTGGGGGGTTTAATGAGGTGGGGGATCCTAAGAGGAGTGGACAGTTCACAAGAGACCTCCCTAGTAATACAGTATTTGTTTATCAGAGTTAACTGCAGGGTTGCCAACAGTTTTTCGAAAATAACTGGCAAAATGCTCCCAGAAGACTTGAACCAGATTTTGTTTATCTAGGTTTTTTAAATATTTGTTTAATCCCAATTCAAGTCTCCTTAATAAAGATATAAAAAAAAAATCCCAATTCTGTTGTTACGTGATTTCGATTATGTTCCCGTGCAGGATGGGTAAAGCTTTTTGAATACCACCATATTTTACTTTGATTATTTTTTTTGTGATTTTCTTTAACAAGTTGCGATGATACGATCAAAAATAGTGACGAAAATAAATCACCAGTGCTGTGTTCCTAAAATTTGAGCTAAGTAATCGCACCCAATATTGTCCTGCGCCCTTAAAATATAAATTTGCCTAAAATAACGATGCATCCGTCCCTGACGTTGATGACGTTGTTTCAAATAGTGAATTATCTAGTTGATATGGTACGTTGCAAAACATTTGCACTTTATCGATGCTGCATGATGAGCAGCACCGTACTCTACAGGTGAACATCTACAAAGTCCCTGTATCCTTACTTATTGAAATTGTGATTAATTTCCAAAAGTTCTGTCAATATTTTCCAAGCACCATAATTTTTATTTTCTGATTTATCTCATATCATACTTTACTTTCCCAAATTTCAGGAAATACCCTGAACAATTTCTATAAAATTTCCTAAACATTCGTGGGCAAAATCTCGGGTCAAACGATGTTCCCAAACTACTAGTAAGTAGCCAAATCAAAACCTCCAAGTTATGAAGCCCTTACTGCGCTAACCAAAGCAATGGCGCAATGGAGTTTTGTTTCTCCGAGGCACTCGGTCGCCCTTCTCAAGGTTCAATTTACATTTTCAAAAAAATTCAAATGCAGTTTTTTTCGACGCATCGTTTGATATTGCAAAAAGCTCACATCATTTTGTGTAAAATAGTAAAAATATTAGAATGACGCGAGCTTTTTGCAATCTGAAATGATGCGTTGAAAAAAACTGCATTTTAATTTTTCGAAAATGCATCAAAGTAAATTGAACCTTAAGCCTCAAGTACGAGGCTATATAAGGTCAAGATTATGTATATGATGAAACTTAAATTAAAAAAACAATCAATAACAAACAATAAAAAAAATGTACCTATATGGATTAGCTTTATGCGTTCAACTCAGAATACCTCTGGCGTTTTACAAATCATTACCAATTTGGTTTCTACGTTGCTGTTCAATTTATGCTGGAGGGAGTGGATCTGTGAGTTGTTATGAATTATGATTACTGTTAAGATAGCATAAATCAATCTCCAGCATAATAGAACAGCAATGATAAATCTATGTGGATTACTGCTAAATGGCACATCCCTTGTGGCTCTCGTGCTTGAACCTTACTTTCGTAATGGAAACTTCTTTTGGTTAAAATTTGACAGATGGAAAGTTATCGATTAACTCTGCTATCCGTGGTTATTTCTGACAGACAAGAAGTTAAATTTTAACAACCGTGGCTGCGTTCTACTCAAAAACCGGTCGATCGGTAACACAGGGATTTTTGAACATAAGAAATAACTTTCGAAATGTCACTTTTAACCACGAGTTAAATTTAACTCGGCAAATGTTTCATAGCCTTAACAAAAGTGGAATCCCAAACTCTTCGAGCATTTGTGCGTGTCAATAACGCAATGGTAGCTACGCAAATCAAACCAATCAGGTTCTTGTTTCAGACGTTCCCAAGAGCTCGTGGCATTACTTTCGAAAGTATTAAATCATCAAGAAAATATAACACTTTCTGAAGCCAGTCTATCCTTGAGCGTATCAACATTTTCCACCGAAGCTTTTCCGAAGCTATTCAATATTTTATGAGCTGAATACACGGATTCATTGTTTCTAATTTTTTTCCGAAGTGATTTAAAACTTTTGTAAAGTTCAGTACTGTTTTTTTTTTACTCTGTTCGGGACCTAACACTACTGCGACCAGTAAATTGATCTATTGTAGTATATCCCGTGTCCTTAGTTTAGTGCATGTCGTATTACTCCATCACTATTGAGAAATGATGAAGTATTCGATTTTTTTTACAGTTGCCACTCTTGCATTTATCGCAAGGATCCGACTCTAATTGAAAGGTCCCGCTATTTATACCCTTTGGAGTGTTGAAACACCCTCCAAAGGCGCGCCCCTTTGTCAGTCAAAATTGGATTCCTTAGCAACAAAATTAAGGTATGGCACCGATAATGACCATGCATCAGAACCCTAATCTTAACCACTTCAAACTAGGGAACAACGATTAGAAGATTAGGAATCACATAGATGAAGACAACTAACTCATTTTTTCCTTGTTTCAAGATCATCCTCGGTAGAAAAAGCCGAGTCTTGTCACTATCAACAAGGCATAAAAAGTAACAAGGACTAAGATGTGTTCCTTGGATTACTGAAAAATTCTATTCTGTTCGAAGTGATTCTGTACGTGCTAAGCTTTCTGAAATGGTCCAAAGTGGTCCTAAGCTTTTCTCAAGTTATTCAGTACTTTCTGAGTGGGCGAACCCGGCGTAATGGTTAGCATCCATACATCTCACGCTAAAGTCACGAGTTCAAATCTCACCCTAGATAAGTCACGAATGACCCAAGAGCATTAAAGTGACTATAAACAAAAGGTACTTTCTGGAGTGATGCTGAACTTTTGCAAAGTGATTCCAAACTTTCCTAATGCAATGTATTATCAGTACAGATAGATCTTGTTTTAGGAAACATAACAACAGTGCATTCTCTACAACTCGATATTGGAGGGACCATCGAGTTATAGAATAAGAATCCTGCCCAAGTAACATTGCAGGTTTTATCGAGGTTTTATAGCATTCTACAAGTCCAAATCATGGTCTACAGAACCCTCATAAAACCAAAATTGTTACTTGGGTAGACAAATTCCCTATCTCAGTAGCCATGACATTCATGTTTACTATGGTTCTATAACTCGATATCGAGCTAGTGGACATTGAGTTGGGGAGAGTTGACTGCCAAAATCGAGAACTTTTCCGATGTGTCACAATGGAGTACTAATGTGGCCTAACGATAAGAATCAATACTCTCTTAAGTGAATCCTGTTGAAAAACTATTGAAAAATTCATGGAAGTGAGAAGGATTTCTCGGTTTCCAACAAAGCGAGAATCACGTCAAACATTCCTATCCATTCCCTAATTGGCCTACATTTGAACGCGGCCGGTGCTGTGAGTATGAGATCACCAATTGTTACACATTGCAGATGCATGCTAGTCCCACGCATCGTTTGTTGCTTCTCTGTGTAATACAGGTAATCTGGTAATAACGGAGAAATAACCACGAGCGGTTAATCATAATCATGCTAAATTATGTTTGTACTATCCGAAGTGATTAAGTACTTTCTGAAGCTTTTCTGCAGTAATTCAGTACTTTTCAAATTGATTCCAAGAGTTCAGTTCAGTTCTTGAAGAAATTATCGCAAACTTAAGATATTTTATACAATACTTTCCGAAGTTTTGCGAAGTGATTCAGTTATTTCCGAAATTATTCAGTTTTTACGCAAGCGATTTCAAACTTTCTGGAACAATTAAGTATTTTCCAAAGAAATTCAGAAATTGTCTTAAGTCATTCAATACTACCCGAAGAATTTCCAAGCTTTTCAGATGTGATTTCAAACTTTTCAAAAGTGATTCGGTTCTTTCCGAAGTGATTCAGTACTTTTGGAAGTGATTACAAACTATCTGGAATGATTCAGAGCGTTCTGGAGTGATTCCGAATTTGTCTGAAGTGATTTAGTACTTTCTGAAATGATTCAGTACTTTTCGAAGTGATTATGAACTTTCTGAAGAGATTCAGTACTTCCAAAGTGATTCCGAACATTTCTGAAGTGATTCAATTATTTTCGAAGTGATTCCGTTCTTGCGGAAATGATAACAAACTTTCTGGGATGATTCAGTACTTTCCAATGAAATTTTCTGAAATTATTCCGAGCTTTTCTGAAGTGATTCATTACTGTCTGAAGTGATTTCACACTTTTATAGAGTGATTCTGCTCTTCCCAGCGTGCTTCATAAAGTGTCGTTAATAAATAATAACAATAACAACGTGCTTCAAAGTGATTGCAAACATTCTGGAATGGTTCAGTTCTTTCTGGAGTGATTCCAAGCTTTTCTGAAGTGATTCCGTATTTCTTGAAATGACTCAACGCTTTCCGAAGTGATCATGAACATTTCCAAAGTGATTCTGAATATTCTTGAAGATATTCAGTATTTTCCGAGGTGATTCCGAACATTTCTGAAGTTCTTCAGTGCATTTCTAAATGATTAAATTATTTCCGAAGTGAATTTTCCACAACGATTCAGTACTTTCCAAAGTGCTTTGGAAATTTTCTGAAGTGTTTCCGATATTTTCTGAAGTTACTTTGTGAAGTGACTCTTTAACATTTCTAAAGTGATTCAGTACTTTCTGAAGTAATTCCAAACTGTTATGAATCGATTCAGTACGTTCAGAAGTGATTCCGAACAGTTCTAAAGTGATACCCCAACATAAAATTACCTATTGAAGAAACGACTTCTTGACGATATTAGTCAACTGCATGCTTAATAATACTTGTACTATTTTTAATAATAACTTCTGTTCAGGCTTTGTTCACACAAAT